AAAGTGGCCTTGCCTGACTATTCTATCTAACCTGGTATTCCCACCTCTTCCTCACCCCCAGTCATTGTCTTTCCATGTACTCTTCTTCAGTTTTACTTTCTGCTACTTTATTATCTGACATTGTGTATTTATTGATTGGTTTGTTGTCTGTTTCCAGACATAAGGGTGAAACTTTGAACAGAACCATGAAAAAAATGGACAATCAGACACGAGAACGGTCTCTGGTTCTCAGTAAGCACTAAACTGGTAAGTATTTAGGTAATTTGGTTCTTATTTAACTCTGAATAATCTTTTAAGGTAAGCATGATTTCTCCATTTTATACATAGCTTAGAAGTTTAAAAGCTTGCCTGTGTTCACACAGTAAGTGGCAGAACATGGACTTAAATCCATTTTTATGACTTTAGAGTCCTTGCTCCTTCCAATGTACAAGGCTGCCCCCCCACCCCCTTCCCGACCAGCAGGGGTGAGGTTCCTCGAGGAGCAGCTTGTTAGGACCGTGTGCCTAGTCATCTCCAGCTTCATCCCGCTGGTCTGCAGTCCGGGCATCTTCCAGGCTGTTATCAGTTATGGGGGTGTGACTGACAAGGGCTGCCCTCTTTTCTGAATAAGGTTTACACACAAAATGCATGTAATACCCAGTCATAGGGATGGTCCCCAAAGTGGAGATCCAGTGAAGCCACCTCGGTAAAGCATCCCACGGTGATGGTGGTATAGAGTGAATGCCCTAGGCAGGCACGCTGATGGGAGTGTCGGGGACGGCACACCCGCTTGGCTGTGCTGGAAGACAGGGTGTTGCCCATCTGGGCAGAACCGTCTTCTCTACGGTCCAGTCTGAGTTACTGCAATGCCTCAAAACTTCCACCTGACTGTAAGTTCCTTGAGGGCAAGACTGCATCTGTGAAGCCCTCACAGTGTCTAGCAGAGTGCCTGGCCCATCGCGGGGGTCTCAGAGATTTGCAGAATTGAAATTTCTTCCTTGCATCACCGTGGGTGTGCTTATTGCCTATTCATATTTCCTGAGAACCCGCAGCCAGAAAATACAGTAGGCTCACTTCCACCAGGGGGCATCCTGCCAGTGACATAGGAGGGAAGCCTGCCACGCAGCAGTGTGTGCAGGCCAGCCTCCCTAGCTTTGGGATGGGAAAGGGAGAACTGAGAGGAAATCTCAGACTTCATGAAACTCTAGGCCAAATGTTTGACCAGAAAGAAATACCTGGGCTTTACTCCTCTTTGTAAAAGGAGACGTGACTCAGTTAAGAGGCAGGGACAGAAGTCCCTCTTCGAGTAAGCCTTTCCCCACATCCTACTCTCTCCCACCACCCCTGCGAATCAGAAGTGACCACCGTTCCAACACTGGTGACACTTCACCTCTTCTGTCTGCTGCTGTGTCTTCCTCCTCCTTTGAGACACTGAGCTCCCTGAAGCTTAAGAACAGGGCTCTGCCTTATTCTTTTGTCCCTAGGAGAATGCTAAGGAAAAAAGAGCAGTACTTAACACACAGTGTTTCACTGATTCATACACTCCTGCATTTGTTCATTTAACATGTTGAGCACCTGCTGTGCACCAGGTGTGGTGCAGCTGCTGGGTGCACAAAGTAATAAACAGCAGCCATGGCCGCCCTCACGTGCCTCCTGACACCACCTCACACTCGTGCCCAGGAAATAGGCACTGCTGAGTGGTCCTTGTGATTGGCCACTGGCCTTTATCTGTGGCCTTCCACACTAAGTCTTTTTGTGCGTTCATCTGTGGCCATCTGACTAAAGGGTGGAAATTTTAAAAATCACCGATGGTGAGGAGAGGAGGAGGCAGTCTGGGAGTACATGCCCACTTGCTTCCTCCCCTGTAAGATTTTGCTGAGAAAAGCTGCCAGCATTGCCGCGGAGGTGACCTGGCTCTGACCAGCTGCT